CAGTCCCAGCACAAAGATCATCAACAAGAAATACCATCTGGTGTCACTAATACGTTACCTCCCTTCTCCCACATGTGAACCTCACACTAGATCGTATTTTCCAATTTATATTTTTTTGTGGTGGCACTGAACCAAATCTTCTTTTGATTATAACACACGCTATTGTTACATGAAAGCTGGTTCAGACCTGGATAGCCTGGGTACGCCCTGAAAAGGGTAACTGAAAATGAATCTTAAAATTATGCTGGACTAGTGGAATTGGCCAACCTAGCAGTTGTAAGATTTTTGAGTTTGCGATACTTTGTTGCTGACAGATCTGCTTTTTGCTAATTGAACCAGGGCTTTCCACCATTTCCGAAATCAAGATAGCAGCCCCATTATCAAGCATCCAGAATTGGAGAGGCTCCTAAAGGAGGAGTTCCGAACCATCGAGGATTTCAAGGCACGGAAGGCAGCAGAGAAAGAAACTGGCAGCAGTACTGCTGCCGCCGCAGGCCATAACAAGGCTGATGCGAAGTAGGTCCTAGCATGGCATGAAATTTTGGTGGTCATCCCACAAAAAGGAGAAAGTAGCAAAACCGTTTTTGTTTGGTGAAAAACTTAAGGATTTGAGTAGACACCTGTGCAGATTTTGTTCTCCCCTGCCGACGATACTTGTGTGGCCTTGTCCAGGAAATTTTCCTCTCGCATTTTTTCCCATTACATTCCTGGCGCAGCGCCCTGTGGGATTTGTACATAAAGATAATAATTACTTGTTGATTAAATGGACAAATAATAGAGCCTGGAGTTAAAATGACACGGCATTGTCGTCTTGCCGTTGCTTTTGGAAGGTTTATCTTAGGAAGTTTCTTCACCTGTGGTCCGGAGGCTGGAAACCAAGTCACGGTCATATTGCCTTTGTGAGCTTCTCTCCATGGACCATGGTCCTTTTCGAAGTCTCTTTCACTTCTCTGGTGGCAATGCCTTTATTTTTGTCGTCGGCCGCACGTTATATGTCAGCACAAAGTGCCATATTCTCGTTACTGGAGATCCGGCGTACTGGCACGACGAGGTTTTCTCGGTTTGTGATGCCTTTTGCTGTTGCAGTAAGGGCCTGTTCGGAGAAGTTTCCAGCTGCAGCTTCTCCCAAAATCTCTAGCTCACCCAAGCAATCTAGATTGTCATCCAGATTTTAAGAATCTGTAGTTGTAGAATCCAGAAAATAAACTAGAACTCTAGAACTCAGAAGCTTAAAAACCCAGCTCATACAGATTCTCAGAAATTGGTCACCAACTAGAAAATTCTTAAAATCTTAAACTCCCCTAAATAGGGCCTAAATCGTTTCTTAATAAGTACTAGTGCCATGTGTCTGGGGTTGGAAATGGTAAAGGAAATTTTCGATTGACGGAGCACAGTTTCCGTATAAGGGGTATTGTTACTCTTTTGTTCCCAAATAAACACTATGTTTATTTATGGATAGAGGAAATATTTCAAATTCATTAAAAAAAATCAACTTCTAAGAACGAGATAAATGACTATTCAGATTTATTCTCGTAAGTTGGTTTTCAGGAATGGAGGATATGTACAAGTTTTTCGATTTTTTGTTTGCAAACCGACATAATGGACGTTGGACCCAAAGCCAGCACGGACGATAGGAGAAAATACAGTGGCCAGGGCTGAGGCTCTGCGTCATATGGATCCGAGCCTAAGTGGAGTAGATGCTCTCGTAGTTCGAATGAGTACCCAATGCCAGTGTCAAAGGACCACCTGTTATAGATGTTAGTCCAAATAATCTTTTCAATATTGTTAGCCATCTATCGACTCAATCATACCAAATTACGATAAACAAAATAATACTACGAGTTTACGTATAGCTTATATCTCCAGACTCTAATTATTAAAACACCTCAACCAACATGGCACATCGGCTACTACAGGTTTAATAGCCTAACTGTCATCCTTCCTCTATATGACTGCTACATTGTCATTATCATTGTTACATTGTAATATTCACTCTGTATTTAAAAGAATAACTAGAGGATTAGAGTCTGATGCTAACTTAACTTTATATCGCTATTAAAACTTCAAGTTTAATTTTACTTTAGTATAGTATAGTCAGCGCCATATTTTCACTTCTCTCTTAGAAGTCATTTGATATTGTCATTCTTGTTTCCAAAGGCCGGTGTTCTATTTAGGTTGTGGTGGTCTTGGAGTGAAAATATTTTTGTCACATGTGATTCATTGTACATTTAGTTAAGAAATTTTGTATTGCAACTTTTTTTCGCTTGCTGTTTTTCACTCTCCACCTTTACTAGTAAGACGTTTGGTCGCTCTCTAAAACGTGTCTAATAATTCGTCGATGATTAACTTTAGAGATTGGTCCTACCCAATCCCCAAACGGAACTAACTACTACTGTAGTTCCGGAATTATTTGATGATAGAAGACATCTGACCCTAGATTTAATTAGAACAGTAACTAAGTTGGCGTGTACCTAAAACCTCTGCATAATTGTGCTACGAGTCATTCCTAAATGGACAGAATGAACAGCTCACACATGGACGGTGACGAGTGACGACAAGCCCCAGCTAGATCCGATAATTTTCCAGCTCACTTGGGAGTTCAAATGTTAAAAATCTCTGTAAAGCCGTTATTGCGTAATTAATCGAAATGTGACCTTAGCAAGTTGGCAAATTGTGAAAAACGCCTACTAAACCACCAATATTTATTACTTCTAAAACGAGCCAATATTTTTGTAATAAGACGTAGCCGGATACAGACTGACGTGGATATTGATTGATTTTCATCATTAAAAGTACAGTGTATTCTTAAAAACGATTATTCATGTTTTTTAATATTGAAATAATAATTTCTGGCCTCTATTCATGATGTTGTACATAATCGTAAACCGTTGTTCATGTAAATCGCATAAACGGTGATGTGGGTATTTTAAGATAAATGGGAATGTGCTTAATATACTTTTGGACAAAGGAAGTATCTGTGTGTATCTACACAAACATTTACTCCCCGATTTTTGTCGTCCAAAACAGTTCTTGGGCTGTGTTAGGACTTTGGAGTACTGGTTGATAACTCATTCCCCTCACAGGAAAAACAAGATTAATTAAGTATTAGCTTAAAAAAATAGATTAGTAAGATTTTCAAAGTAAACTTTTTATATATTATTTTTAAAAAATGCATCGTTTATATGTGGTGAATGGTTGAAATCAATTTAAACTAGCTCTCTATAATAGTCAATACTATAGATTAAATGTATTTAGGACGTGTAATTACTCTCAGTTAGAGTTAACTAAATAGAGTATTACCATATATCTAACGCTACAATAGTGTTGTTAGTGATGGGAGTGAGGATGTTAGCATGTTGCCTCCCACCAACTAATAATGCTTTTAAAGAGAGAACAATCCCACCTACTCAGGTTGATTATATGGTGGACACATCCCTTATTAAGATCAACTCCAAGGCTCATAATGCTAGAAAAAGATATGAACGTACATGTATAATTGTGTCGCCCAAGCAGACATTATAAGCAACAGAAAATTAAAAAGAAAACATACCTACTCTAAAAACTTTAGGGAGCATTTGTTTGCACAAAGACAATATTAATAGCTGTAATATTTAAAGTACTATATTTAATTAAACAAATTTGGTCTTGTAGATGTTGAATTTTTTTTATAAACTTGATGAAAACTAAAGAAATTTGATAAGAAAAATCAAAACGACTTAGAGCAGATACAATAGCAGGCTATTAGCCAGCTGTAAACATATTTTACTAAGATAAAAGATGAGAGAGAAAAGCAGCAGACTACAGATCTATAGCCAGCTGTAGCACGGACTCCAAGATGTAATGTGTGTATGACGTATGTGACCATATATTAATAGTATAGTAAGCAACTATTGTATGAATTGGCTATTAGATTGGCTATAGATGAATTGAAGCTAGTAGTAGGCTATACTATTAAACTTGCTCTTATAATATGAAACATTTGGAGTAGGTACGAGGCAAGACCACTCCTAAGCTAAGGGCCTGTTTGAGGAGCTTTCAGCAGCTGCAGCTTCTCTTAGAATCTTTAGTTACCAGACGCTCCCTAAAACTGTCCAGCTTTTTACCCAGATTCTGAGAATCTATAGCTATAGAATCTGGAAAATGAACTAGAAGCCAGAAGCTGGGTTTCCCAGTTTCTCCAGATTCTCACAAACTAGCTTCTCAGCAGCTGCTTCTTAGAATCTCAAACTCATCCAAACAGGCCCTAAGAGCAATTGAAACCCCACCCAAGCAATCATCACAAATCAATTTTTTAGCTTTTCAATATAAGTCTAGAAGTAAGTGATTTTCACATGTAAATCCGTCCCCTTGACGAAATTGAAGTACACTCCTTGTCGTTTATCGTGTAAACCATCCATGCATCTCCACGAAAACGAGAATGACTATCAATTGCTTGAATCGGATAGTTTCTTGCGGATCTTGTGCAAGTTCGGAATTCCATTTCAAAGGCCGGAACTTCCGATTCGGCATGTTTCACCGGAAGGCTTGGCTGCGGTGTGCTCCCGTGTTTTCGTGCAAACACCTAACTAGAAATCCGTATGATTGTAATATACATGAGAATTAACTAGGATTATCACACAATTTTCCATGTACCTAAACGTTCCTAACCATCAAACAGCTCTAGGTATCGCATGATACTTGAGTATCAGCCGATACCTACTAGGTATCAGTCGAGACCTCAGAGATATTATTCCGTTCGAATGGGGTATCAGCCGATATCTACTAGATATCAGACAATACATGTAAGGTATCATACCATCCGAACTAGATACTGTTCTCATTTGCCATTTTAGTAATATGCCACTTCAGGCTTAGAACGGTTAGAAGTTGCTGAGGCCCATGAAATTTACTCGAAAAGGAAGCAAAATCTGATATAAATTCGGTGAGGCCACCGCCGGCCACCGCGTCCCTTTCATCGCGTGGCTTTCCCACACATCGCTGTGTCTCTGGACGCCATGACAAAACAAACCAACCCCTTCAAAATAAAAATAAAAATAAAAATAATAAAAAAAAACACCACCCTTATCTAAATTATTATTATTATTATCATCTCCTCCCGCTCCCGCTCGCTCGCGCCATTTTCCAGCCCAAAGCCAAGCGCCTCGGCTCGCTCTCGCCGCCTCGCCGCGCGCCGCGCGCTCGCCATGGAGATCGGTGGCGTGCTCGTGTCGCTGCTCTTCGCCGCCTTCTCCCTCCCCTGCCTCCTCCTCCTCCTCGTCCTCGCCGAGGCCGGCCTCCGCCTCGCCTCCCTCGCGCTCCGCGGCGGCCGCTACGCCTGGCCCACCCGCTCCGACTTCCTCGGCTACCGCATCGCCCGCCGCCGCCGCGCCGCCGTCTCCGGCGGCGCCGGCGGGGCGGACGGCGAGGAGGAGGCGCAGCCGACGGCGGAGTGCTGCGACCGCCTTGCCGTGGCGATGTACCGGCGCGGGCGCGACGCGGCTCCCGTGGACTGCGTGTTCTGCCTGTCGCGGGTGGACGACGGCGAGGAGGTCCGCGAGCTCCGGTGCCGCCACGTCTTCCACCGCGCCTGCCTCGACGCCTGGCTCGTCCTCCCGCGCGCCACCTGCCCGCTCTGCCGCGACTGCCTCCTCCCGCCGCCGTGCGAGCCGCCGCGCAGCTTCCCGCTCGACTACTACGACGACGACGACGACGTCCACTTCGGCTTCAACGACTTCTCCATCACCTCCTCCACCACCACCACCACCTCCGCCGCCGCCGCCGTCGCCTACCCACACGGCGTCGCGCTCTGGCCCATGTAATAAATGTAATAATCGCCATTGCTGCCGCTGCCGGCTGCCGCCATGCGAGAAGCCGAGGAGCAGAGTGTTCTCTCTGTTTTTCTTCTTCTTTTTTTTTGGTTTCTTTTTGCATAGTTTTTTTTAGTAATTAGTTGCTAATTAATTTGGGACTGATTGCTTGATTAATCTAATGTAATCTAAGATGATCTGGCTAGGTGGCCCATGTAAAGTAATGTAATAATCTCCAATTCTCCATTGTTGCTGCCACACGAGAGAAGCCGAGAAACACACAGGGATCTTTTGGCTAGCTTTACGAGGTGATAGGCTAGACGATTTGAATTTGAAGCCTCGTTCTTTCTAGCTATTTGATACTAAATCTTTATCTAATATTCACGTCTTTTTTAGCATAGTATTCTCTCTGTTTTTTCATATTTTAGGGGTTTTTTAGTAGTTAATTGCTAATTAATTTTGGGACGGATTGCCTGATTAGTGCAAAAGACGATCAGGCTTAGGTGGCGGTTGCTGGCTGCTGTCCTGTCCTGTCTTGCTCTCTCTCCCGGTAAATATCAGCGACTGATAACGATGCCTCACCTGCTACTATTTCTCGGATCGTCCGTACATCTTTCATCTACTACACGAGTACATGGCCATATGCATTCATCACGAGAAAACGCTGCATAATGCAAACCACACCCCGTCCCACTAATGCTTCATTTCTGGGCATATACAAATACTACCTCTATCCTAAAATATAAAATATTTTATCCACGTAGAAGTAGTGCTTCATTCCTGCAATCCTACTGATGTATATATATAGCGAGAAATGAAGTGTTATGCCAATTCAGAAAACACAAAAAGGAAACAGTAATATATTATTTGTGAGCAATTTAATTAAAAATATGGATTAGATACCACCTAATAATAGGAATAAGTTTGCTGGGATCGTGAAAGAGGAAGTAATTCGTTGGATCGGTTCTCCTGATCCATCCTCCATTATCAAAGGATCAGCGGAGTCCCAATCCATGGTGGAATTCCCCGCTCCATGGTGGATAATATCACAGCAAATCGATGGATTGACCTAACCTAGTGTGCAAAGCACGTAGACTAATGCAATTAGGGTAGGTGGCGGTGTCACCGAGCGAGCCAGCCAGCCAGCCGGAGTTGACAACACCGGTCCATCGCGATCACGATTATGCAGCCCCCCTACAGTAGTAATTTCTCCATCACAGTAAAAAACAATCTAGAAGTACCTGAAGTAGATTTGACACTATTTGACACTATTTAGTACTCCATCCGTTTCATAATACAAGTGATCTTAAGTTTTTACTTATACTACTTCCTCCGTTTTTTAATAGATGACGCCATTGACTTTTTCTCACATGTTTGACCATTCGTCTTATTCAAAAAATTTATGTAAATGTATAAGATATAAATCACACTTAAAGTACTATGAGTGATAAAACAACTCATAACAAAATAGATTATAATTACGTAAATTTTTTGAATAAGACGAATGGTCAAACATGTGAGAAAAAATCAACGGCGTCATCTATTAAAAAACGGAGGTAGTATTTAACAACTCATCTTATTCAAAAAAATTATGTAAATATAAAAAACAAAAAGTTATGCTTAAAGTACTTTGGATAATAAATTAAGTCACACATAAAATAAATAATAATTTCAAAACTTTTTAAATAATGCAAGTAAAAAAGTCAAATAGAACGGAGGGAGTAAAACAGATTTGAACAGAACAGTTCAGATTTGTTTTGTAATAGATGATGTCAAATCCATTTCTAAATTATTTATTTTTTTCCTAACTAAGGGTCTGTTCACTTTGATACCACTTTCAACCTTATCAAATTTTGGTAAAGTTAACAAAAAAAAAATGGTTACATTTAGTTTGCTGCCAAATTTTGGTAACTATATAAGAAATCCTACCAAAATTTTGGCAAGTTACCAAAATTTTGACAACTATACCAAAATTTGATAATGCTAAAATTTAGTAAGGTTTTTTTTTTATTAAAGTGAACAGGCACTAAGAGAGTACTCCAAATAGTAGTACAGTGAGTGACTGTGAAGGCCAGCCAGCCATAAGCCTAAGCTAACCTAATCCTCCGTCGCGTAGCAAGTTGACAAGGCCAACTTGCCCAGCAACCAGCAGGTGGCGCGGCCGTAGCATGGCGCACGTACGCGCCCACCGCATTTCCGCCCAAACGGGGGAGCTATCCGTGACCGTGCGCCCCTATCCGAAGTTGTTAAGATCATTAGCAGTTCGAAAGAACGTGCTAATGATCTTAAGTCAGAAATCAGAACAGAACGAAGCCCTAACATAGTATGATCCGGACCGGCATCCTAACAACCTCGCGGGCGTGATATATCCTCCCAGGGTTCACAATTCCGACGAAAACCGATCGAATTCCTCGAAATTTCGACGTTTCGATACGGCTCAAAATTAGGTTTTAATTGGAATTTCGAAGGCTAAACAGTATATTTGGTCGAAATTCAGTCGGAATTTATCAAAAACTGATTGAAAATCATCGAAAATCGTGATATCAATGAGACTTAAAATTTAGTGGTCAACCGGTAATGTGATCCTCCTTCCCGCTTGCAGGTGCAGCTCGATCGCGCGCGCACCCGGCACCGAAGCGCAGAGAGATCAGGTGCCGCGGCGACCGGCCCGGCCACGACGACCAAAACATATCAGCATTCAACACGATCCCGCGAGGGCGCATGCTAAACAACCTTATCTTTTTCTTTTTCTTATGTTTATAGTTATCAACCAAAATTTAAAATTTTAAATCGTTAAGAACACGTGTGTGTATATATATATAAGAAATTTATAAATTATTTTTTATTTGTATCCTAATAAGCAAAAAGATAGCCGTTCCCCAACTGCCGTGGCAGTACAGCCTACAGGTGGTGTACCTGCATATGGCCGGCAGGCGACATATCCATCGCCGTTTGGTACTGTGGCGTACTGAGTTGTACGTACTACTACTGTGTAGCAGCCAGATCTTTTTTTTCTTCCTAAAAAAGAGGGACGTAACGTAACAACCGATTGATAAAAAACTACTAACCTCTTCTGTCGCACATATATTTTCGAATAAACCAAAACGGCTTATTAAACAATAAAAGTTAATTTATAAGTACAACTTCTATATATTTGTTCGTAGCGACTTAAAAGCTAACACTAAAAGTAAATTACATTTAAAATATTTAAAAATCATTCAAAAAGTTAAATTTTAGCTTTTTCTTTGGTTTATTAGACCAACCAATAAGGCTCTATGTCTGATCTGATGAGGGAAAACAAAGAGCAAGTTTAATAATAAATGAGCTATAAGATTATCTCTTTTTTTTCTCCTCCTCTTTCTATCTCTTACCTATGTATTTAATGTATTTATCTTGAAATATATGAATAGCTAGCTATTGATGAGAGCCAACCCTCTTTATTTTTTAAATTCTCTTTTCTCCACAGTTGGTTTATAGCCTCTAAGGACGGGCAATTCAGTTTGTATACCGCGTGAAGCCGTGAAAGTTGAAACAGAGCCGGTGAGTTCCATCGTCGGACGGTCGCCGAGAAGAGGTTACGCAAAATATGCAACGATAGATCATACGTTCCCTATCAAAATCGCGGGTGTTTTGCTTGGGAAGGCGTACGCCGTCTCCGTCGACGATTTAATTTGTCCCGTCCCCGCTTGGATTCAATGTTCGTTGCCACTGATCAAGAACCAATAATATGGTTTAGGCATTTGCTTGCTCGCTAAATTGCCCTGCCTCGGACATCTTAATTCACATCGATCGAAGACGACGACGAAGAAGGGGATCAGTCCTGCATGTGACTCACTCTGATTTAACGGTGACGCCACGCTGCCTTGTGTCTAGCTTCCCTCTCAATATACTACTACTCCTATTCGTCGTATAAAGAGTTACTCACTCCGTCAAAAAAAAATCAACCTAGAAAGAGATACGATCTCTCCTAGTATGATAAATATAAACATATAATTTGTCCAGATTTATTGTATTAGGAGGGATCACATTGCCTCCTAAGTTGAGTTTTTTTAGACGGAGAGAGTAGTTTTTTTTAGAAAATCTCAGATAAATTAGTATCACATTGAAAAAGATGTCAACGTCTTCCATTAAAGGCTTCTTTGGGACACATGAATAGAAAAAAAAAAATAGAAATGAGATGCCATATGTAAGCAAATCCCATGAAATACAAAACACAGGAATTTGCAAGACAATGTGTTTAGATAGCTCATAGTAAAAACTTGGGGATTTGGATGGATTTTAGAGAGAGAAGAGAGAGAAATAGAGGAAGCATTGGACTTCTCAAAGCAATGTTAAAATGAGGTAGGAGAGCTCATGTGCAAAATTCCTAGGAATTGGAGTATAGGATTACAATTCAAAGGAATTTTCCTATGCTTCAAACAAGCTAGATAGAAAATTTTCCTTAAGATTTAAATCCTTTGAAATTCAAATCCTTGAAATTCCTATAGAAATACTCCATTTCAAAGGAGCCATAAACCCCATAGTTCGTAGTAGTGACTATTGGTTGTCCTGACCATGATTTTCTTTTCAATGAATTCCTAAGCATGGTTTAATTACTCTGCAGATACTTTTTAATATTTATTCACTTCTTACTAAAATATAGCAACCAAGTGCTCGAATAGACACCACCTAATACTAATATTTAGTAGTACGAGTATAGACAGGTCCCTTTATTTAGAATCGTTGAGCTATGTGGTATCTACTATGTTGCTACTCTCTTCGTCCCTAAATTAAGTACTAATTAAGTATATTTTGGGATATGGAGGGAATAACTTTTTATGGGAGAGATTTTATATGCTAAATTATAGTATAATTTTAATACAGACCCTTGCAATTGATTTTGCAGTATATTTCGCACAAGCTAGTCTGTTATCCAAGTATGGACTTCACAAACAATGAGACCCTGTTTAAAAGGGACTAAAACTAGTTTTAAGTCTCTATCACATCAGATGTTTGGACACTAATTATAAATATTAAACGTAGACTATTAATAAAACCCATCCATAATCTTGGACTAATTCGTGAGACGAATCTATTGAGCCTATTAATCCATGATTAGACTATGTGATGCTACAGTAAACATTATTTAATTATGGATTAATTAGGCTTAAAAATATGTCTCGCAAATTAGCTTTCATTTATGTAATTAGTTTTGTAAGTAGTCTATATTTAATACTCTAAATTAGTGTCTAAATATAGAGACTAAAGTTAAATCTCTGGATCCAAACACCACCTGATTCGGTTGTCGGTTGCAAAAACAAAGAGAAGAAAAAAACATTTCCCTTCAATCCCCGTGCATTTAATTTCCCTCGTACTACCAAGGAAAAAACCGAAAAATACGTTCCCACTCCCACGCACATATGGCCTGCACGAATCGTCATCACTCTCTTCATTTCACGAAAGCAACTTTAATTTGCTAAAGGAAATCAGACAGGTTCGGAAAGACAAACGAGTTTCCATTTTTAAAAAGACAATATACTCTCTCCGTTTCAAAATATTTGACACCGTTGACTTTTTTAGTATGTGTTTGACCATTCGTCTTATTTAAAAAATTTAAATAATTATTTATTCTTTTCATATCATTTAATTTATTGTTAAATATACTTTCATATACACATATAGTTTTACATACTTCATAAATTTTTTGAATAAGACGAATGATCAAACATGTGCTAAAAAATCAACGGTGTCAAACATTTTGAAACGGAAGGAGTATTTTCCTAAAACATCACTTTACGTCGCCTTATTCTTATATCAGTGACACTCAACCTATCCGTAAGGCTAGAAATGAACATCATGTGGACAACGTATCATATTAAATCTTTAGTTTTCCTAAGCCACTACCAACAGTAACTTGCTCCACCATAGGCCAGTATTTTGCTACAGAGCAACAGTTCCTTCCGGCTGCGTTGCCGTGTGATGCTCTGTCGTGGCTGTGATCTGTCCGTCCGCTTGCCAACCCGATATGCTTGCCCTCCACACAGCACACACCCATCAATCCCCAATTCATGAAAATAAATCCCTAATCCATCTGCTTGCCCTCTCCACCACACACCCATCGATCCCCAATTCATGAAGATAAATCCCTAATCCATCGGAGAAATCGACGCCATCCCCTCTGCCCCATCGATCACCAGTTCGCCGGCGGCTGCCTTTCTCTTCCCCGACCTGCGTTCTTCCCCACCCACCGCCTGTGATTGTAGGGTTGCCCCGTGGTGGTTGCCGCTGGTTATAGTCGTCGTCCAGCTATCTCTATCGGTCAGGCTGCCGGCGCGCTGGCCGCACCCATCAAGGCTCCCGATTGTTGCCCTGGTCGAGCGGCTGCCATCTGCCAGCCTGTCTGCTCTGGACAGCTGCCTCCATCCTCGGTTTTCTTCAGTAAGTCTTTTTTCTCTATACTGCTCTTTGTTGCTGTTGGATGCCAATCTTGCTTTCTTTCAGTTTGAGTCACCGAGACAATGCCCAGGCTGATCAATCTTTGCTGTTGTTAACAGCCAAAACATGAATCTATTTCCCTATGCTTCCTTGCGATAGTTAGGCTGAGTGAATACTACCAAGGTTGCGATTTTTTCAGATTAAACACTATATGACAAAATGCTAATGAACGAAAGATAGATATGCGCTTTTCCTTGATATGTTCTCATTTTGCCTGTCAGTTTATTAAATATTTGTAGGCCGTCAACTTGCAGCTTGGCATTTGGATTATTGCAGTGCTAATTTTGCTATTTATTTTGGCTTGCCATATTGGGTCGATTTAGAATATATGTACGCTTCAGCATGGCATTTGGTCTTGGTGGTTTGATTTTGAACTCTCTGTTACTGCCTATCAATTCCCTATGTGCATATCTTTTTTTTTAACCTTCTTTCCGGTTTGGTGCTTTCTTTCATAAACAAAATGCATTATAGCCTCTTCATTACAATTTGCAAGTACACTCACATTTAAAGAACTCCATATCAATTGGTCAAAAAGATTAATTATGACTAGATGTGTAGTGCATTTTATCTGCTTTCTTTTATGGCTCTTCCCATATAGTTTAATTAGTATTACCTGATATAGCAAACTGGCCAGTACCTAATGTGCCACTTTATGGATGCATAAATTTCTCTTTATATGTATACTACTTGATTGCTACACATATAATGATGTTTTGGCTGCTATAAAAAATATATTACTTTCATTATTATAGTTCCAGTAAACCACTAATTACTTTCATAAATCAGTTTGAATGATGTCAGTCTCTTCTGGGCCATCAACACCTAAACCAGCTTGCAAGCGCAGGCAACCCGAGAGAGCTTTTATACCTTCAGGTTAGCTCCAAGCCATATAAATGCTTATTTCTACATTTGAAACCATTTTCCTATTGAGCTCTCCTATTTGTCAACAGATGATTCTGTTGTGCCATATCTATTTCCTAGGGAATATTCCTAGCGATGGCGTTGTTCTGCTGGCTGATGACGCCCTCTCCCATGTTTGTGATTTCCCTACAAGTTTTCATTTGCCATCAAGGCGCTCTATACGTCGAAGACTACTTACTCAGTCTGCTGGTATAATATTTGTTGTTTTGATTTTTTTTTCCGTTCTAATTGTCTACCCTGTTGTTTTCCAAATGTATGGCATTTCTTTCCATTTATTATGCATAATCATCACTACCAATTCAACCTACCGCAGTCCACATTTACATATCAATTTCCCATGTTATTATCCTAATTCTTTTTTGACCAAAAATTGTTGCTCATATTCTAAATCAGGATTTCCCCACCCGGATCCTGTAACAGCTGCTCAATCACGTCGAAAGCGTAAGCTTGCTATGGCTGCCAAATCATCTAGAGGTTTGATTATATTCTTTATCCACTCACATGTTTATCTACATGTGCACTTTCATGCCTTATACAAAAGTTTTTTTTCCCTAACACATGTTGTTTTCTCTAGAAATTAATAGTACCACTGAAATGATAGAGCATCGGACGCATATCCATGTGCTACAACGGAATGTTCGACAACGAACCGGTCTGTCTCAGTCATCCACCTTGGTTCCTATCAATTGTGGCCATACACAACCTTTTGCAACTGTCGATGGAGGTCTGTCCTATTCCTATTTCCACTTATTTTACTGTGTTTCTCTCCTAATTCTTCAACAAATGTAACCAATGATAGCATGTTCATCGTCGACCTCTTCAGCCCTATTGTCTCCATCTCCCACACATCAACGTAAGTTTAGTCATATATTAGTTCTCTACAACTATCATTTCATTTCACCCTTTACAAATCATGACAACTACAATGCTAATAATGTACAGACCATTTGCTCATCAATTCTCGCGGTTTTGCTGATGTAAACCTGATGCTCGACATGTCAAATCAGATCACTCATACAGTATGATGCTCGACTTGCTGTTCGACTCACTAATGTAATTCTGATGCTCGACCTGATGTATGTCAATCAATAGCACGAAAAAAAATTCCCACCTTTTACACACACTTATGTCATTTTCTTTTAATTACTAGGCACTATTTTCTCTCCATCAAGGCTTGGGCCCCCATGTCACACTTGTCCATATTGTGGGGCTTTCTTTTGGTTTGAGGAGCGTGTCCGCCGAGAACAGCACAGCTCATCACCAATATACAATACATGTTGTAAAGGTGGGAGTGTCATCTTACCTCCATATAGGCCACCCCCAGAACCTTTGCATAGTCTACTCACAGGAGTTAACAGATCATTGTCAGCCCATTTTTTTAGAACATTAGGTTCTACAATTCGATGTTTGCCTTCACATCGATGGGTGTAAATGTCATTGATTCTATCAATGATGGACGAGGCCCATATGTTTTCAAGATTAGTGGCCAGCTCTGCCATCGCATTGGGTCACTCATACCAGAAGAAGGAAGACGACCAGAGTATGCTCACTTATATATCTTTGACACAGAAAATGAGATCAGGAATAGGATAAATGTTGGAACCTATGCAAATAGGAGTTTTCGTCCTAATGAGGATATTGTGGCTGGACTTATAGACATGTTCAACACCCACAATCCTATTGTCCACCTATTTAGGACAGCTCGTGATAGATTGGCTGAAAATGGTGATGATTGATACATCATAAGATTATTTGGTGATCCCGACAAGCATGGTGATATATTTAGTGCTCCAGTTGCATCGGAGGTTGTTGGGTTAGTTGTTGGTGATGTAGGTATAAGTGATGTTGGCCGTGACCTTATTGTGCAGGACCAAGCGGGTCATTTACAAAAAGTTGAAGAAAAGCATTGTAAATTTATGTCAATGCAATATCCAATTCTATTTCCATATGGGGAGGATGGCTATCATGAAAATATCACATACCGACGTTGTGCTCGATTACAAGCTATCAAAAGAAAGAAGTCTACTATGGTTGAATACTTTGCATATAGGCTTCATGACAAAGCTGATGACTTCAATACTCCTATGCGCTGCAAGAGAGGAACCCAGGCCTATGTCATAGATGCCTATTGTTGTATGGAAGAATCTCGCCTGAGTCACTATAGATCCAAGACATTTCAGCTTAAGTATAGAACAACTTCATTTAGTGAGGTATCCACTATGGTCCATTCAGGCATCACAGAAGCATCAGATGCCGGGCAGCAAGTTATATTGCCTTCTTCTTATATTGGGGGGGGGGCAAGATATTTATATCAAAATTACTTAGATTCAGTTGCTCTATGTAGAAAATATGGTTGCCCTGATTTGTTTATCACTTTCACATCAAATTCCTTATGGTCAGAGGTAACACAAGCTTTGGCTATCATCCCTGGGCAACACTCAGCAGATAGGCCTGATATTATTAATCGTGTATTCCATGTTAAGCTGCATCTCTTCATGGACGACATCGTAAAGAAGAAATTTTTTGGCCCTGTCACTGCAGGTAGTAATTTAATTGTTCATGAATCATGACACAACATACTGCACACTTCATATATTCAAATATTTTGTATGTGTCATTCTCACATAATTTTTCCTTTTATGTAGTTGTGTACACAATTGAATTTCAGAAGCGTGGACTTCCACATGTTCACATCATATTGTGGTTAGATAAGAGTGGTCCATTGACACCTGCTGATATTGACAGACTAATATCGGCCCAGCTTCCAGATCCATCCATTGATCGAGTTGGTTATGATGCTGTTGCGGCATTCATGATGCATGGACCTTGTGGTGATGCAAATCCGCATTGTTCATGCATGGTTGACGGTAAATGCTCAAAGAATTACCCGAAGGAATATTATGAGAAAACAACAATCCTGCCAAATGGCCATGTAAGGTATGCTCGGCCAAAAAATGATATAATTGTTGCGAAAAATGGAATTTCTCTTGATAATTGGCATGTTGTCCCCCACAACGTCGATTTATTAGTCAAATATGAGGCGCATATCAACGTGGAAAGAGTTAATCGTGATGGAATGGAAAAGTATCTATTCAAATATGTTGCTAAGGGTTTTGATTGTTCGAGGGTTGGTCTCAAGCGCAAGCGGGCATGTGCTGGAACTAATGAGATTCATGACTATTTAGAATGTAGATGTATAGCGCCGAATGAGGCGGCATGGCGTTTGCTTTAGTTTGAGATTCATTATACTGATCCTGCTATTGAGCGTCTCCATGTACATATGCCATTAGAGAATAATGTTACATTCACAGAGGATGATAATCTGGAACAGATCTTGGATAACCCACGCAATCGTGTTACGAAACTTACAGCATGGTTTGCTGCAAATAGAGAATACTCTCAGGCTGCTCCATATACATATGCAGAGTTCCCAGAATACTTTACCTGGCATGGTAATGGCAAATATTGGGCTCCACGGAAAAATTGCCGCAAGAAAATTGAAAGGATAGCACATGTTTGTCCTGCCCAAGGAGATGTCTACTACCTTAGAATGTTGCTGCACATTGTCAAAGGAGCAAAATCCTATTCTGATCTCCGGACCATTGAAGGACATGTATATCCTACATTCCAATCTGCATGTCAAGCCCTAGGCCTTCTTGGTGATGACCGTGAATGGTCCTTCGCAATGACTGATGCGACTCATTGGGCACTTCCCTACCAACTCCGTGAGTTATTTGTAACATTGCTTCTTTTCTGTGATGTTACAAACCCACTGAGTTTATTTGAAGAGCATCTGTCTTCAATGGGTCAAGATGCAGCCTACCACCTTAACCATGCCACACTAGGTATAAATTCTTCTGCACCTTCAGTCATACAATATGTCAAGTCCTATGTTCGTTCCGAGATCGATAGCATACTTAGAAATGTTGGTCGTACTTTGGCACATTTCCATTTACCTGAGCCTACTATTCAAAGCACATCCATCCTTGGCAATAGGTTGCTAATAGATGAACAAGCATATGATCTAGAGAAGATATCGATTGAAGCGGCTGATCAGTTAGGCAAGTTAAATCTGAACCAGAGACATATATATGATGCTATTCTCAATTCTTTAAATAGTGACATTGGGCATACCTTCTTTATCTATGGCTATGGAGGGACAGGGAAAACATTCCTTTGGAATACCCTACTAAATAGTGTAAGGGCTGAAGGGAAAATTGCTTTGGCAGTTGCTTCTTCCGGTATAGCATCACTTCTACTTCCTGGTGGCCGCACGCCTCATTCTCGCTTTAGAATACCATTGGACATACAAGAGCATCCAGTTTGTTCTATTAAGAAGAACACTCACTTGGCTCAATTAATTCAACAAACCTCCTTAGTCATATGGGATGAGGCACCTGTTAATCACAAACATTGCTTTGAAGCTCTTGACCGAACATTGAGAGATATTCTTGCATCCAATGATCCATCACTTGCTAACAAACAGTTTGGAGGCATTACAGATGTTCTTGGAGGAGATTTTAGGCAAACTCTCCCGGTTCTACCCTATGAAAAAAACAGGAAATCTTATCTTCATCCATCACACGTTCTCATTTGTGGCAGCACTGCATTCTCATGCATCTTACGGAAAATATGAGGCTTCAATCCCCAACATTGTCTAATACTCATCGTCAACGCCTTCAAGAATTTGCAGAATGGTTGTTAGCAATAGGGGAGGGAGCAGTAGCAGATTCTTCACCTACTGATCGAGAGGATGTTTCTTGGGTAAAAATACCAGAGTATTTGCTTTTGCCAGATGACACAAGAAACCTTTCAGGCCTTATCTCTTTTGTATATGATGCCTCAATCAATTCTCACACAGCCAATTATCTCTGTGAGCGAGCAATTCTAGCCCCAACAAATGAAATCGCTGCAAGTATAAATTCCCAAATGATTGCTCAGCTGACTACTGAAGAAATGTCATACTATAGTTCAGACACAATTGAAGATACTACAAGTAATCGTGCCACTCTTGATGCTCTTTACCCAACTGAGTTCCTGAACACTATAAAAATCAGCGGTTTGCCAGACCATCACCTTCAACTAAAAATAGGAGTGCTGATTATGCTGCTGCGCAATCTGAACCCAACCAGACTTATAATGACTCAATTGACTTGTCGTGTGATAGAAGGGGAGATAATTACAGGGAAGGCTAAAGGATCCAAGGCATATATACCAAGGATAGTAACCACTTCAATTGATAAGAAGTGGCCTTTTAAATTAAAGCGCCGACAATTTCCTGTATGTGTGTCATATGCATTGACTATAAATAAAAGTCAAGGGCAAACACTTAGTAGAGTTGGTGTCTACTTACCTAGCCCTGTCTTCTCACATGGACAACTTTATGTCGCACTCTCACGTGTAACATCGCCTGATGGTCTTCGTATTCTAATTGAGAATAGTCCAACTGAGCATGTGACCAGCACTCACAATGTTGTTTACAAAGAAATATTTAACGATCTGGATCAACAAGGAATGCATACATGATTACAGGTAAGTCAAGCATACGTGTTCTACCTATTAGTAATTTGTTGTGTTTGGTTGCCTTGCCCCCAATGTGAGTCCTAGGTTCTTTTTTCTCAGACCTACTAACTTGACCTGATTATATTCTTTGTGTTTTGATACTTAATGTCAAATTTACCTATCTTCATTGTTTGCAGGATTCTTTATCTGAAACCTCTGCCTTGTCAAAGCAGCACGCAGTTGGTATTATTACAATGGTTCAGTTCTTTCCTGTCTATTTTATGTGATCTTCACACTCAACTTTCCTCTAATATATGCCTTCTGGTATCCATGGTTTCTTCGTAAGTTTGTTTTCCTCTTTTTATATTTTGCATTCTGACCACTAAACAAGTTCAATGTGAAAAGAAGTTTACAGCATTTTACAGGTTACCTATATAAATTTGAAGATCCTTGCATTCATGCATTAATTGCCAAAAGAAAAAAAAATCTTCCACACCAAATCTAGATTCTCTCACGGCTAATGCTTTTAAGTATTCTATCATATTTGGTCACACACCTATTCCTATTAATTTAGTCTTGGTACAAGTTCATAGTATGCTATAATTCATTAAGTTTTCCATCCATATATATGTTTCATAACATGTCTTACCACTTCATTTGTCATCTCATCAACTGTCACATGATATTATTTTCCCTGTTTCAATGTGATCAGCCACTTCAACAACTGTATATGGATGTTTCACACACATACCTATTTTACTTAAAAATTAATCTGTTATTCACTATGCTACCAGTCTTGATTATGGCTGATGCTCATAATGATACTATAATGCAGGCTGCCATCATACGAAGAACCAAGCATCCAACCATCTCAATGATCATTATAAATTTCATTTTTCCATCAGCAGGTGTTCTGCTAGAAAACATATCAATGCACCTCTATGCCCTATTATGTACCTTTTGGCTTGCAAGAGTGTTATACGAGATAAATTATTTGTCTCACTCACCTGTATGCCTGCCATGTAAATAATATAACTATTTTAATTGCCAACTGACTACCGTCATCAATTCTTTTGTCCGATGAAATAACATATCTTACATATATTATATGCTTTTTAGTAAGTAAACTTCCAGTAATATTTTTGTTGTCATGTGAAATATTAAAAATATATGCATTCACATTTATATTAACGACAATGCAGTTTCTAATCATATCAGCTTTGACGTTGGATTTATATTTCAAAATCTACATGAATACCTTTTGTTTCCGTGCTTCACTCCATGCTTATAATAACCAATTTTCATTATGTCCCGCGGCAACGCGCGGGGCACATACTAGTTTAGTATATACATCGTCAAGATTCTCACGTAGTCCTTCCATCCTAAAATATTTTTAGACGCTGTTAACTATTTTAAAAATATTTGACCGTTCGTCTTATTCAAAAAATTTAAGTAATTATTAATCCTTTTCCTATCATTTGATTTATTGTTAAATATACTTTTATGTATGCATATAATTTTGCACATTTCACAAAAGTTTTTAATAAGACGAACGGTCAAATATGTTTTAAAAGGTTAACAATATCAAACATTTAGAAAATGAGGGAGTATTCGGTATGGTCCTAGATTTACACGGCGACATCCTAGATTTACATGGCCCTTTTTCGAGTTTTTAATTTACGTGTTTGGGGTATCTTTACAACAAAAAAAAAGTCACAAACATAACTCAAGCAACCGATTAGTCTCGCCCTGTTTTAGCATACTAACATAATTTGAGATCTTATCTAAAAAAATAGGAATTTCAACGGAGACAGTTTAAATAGGAATTTTTCAGGAAACCATTACAAAAGTTGTTTCTACGTTTGGGTTCATCCCCTCATAATTCCACCTCATCAGTGCGTGTGTTCGGCCGTCCGTAGCTGTTCATTGTCTATCGCCGTCGTCCATCATATATATCGTCAGATGGACGGCGATGGGGGTGTAAAAGAGTGACGCTGAACGGAGGAGGGTCCTGTGCGTTAATGTCAGCTACTTGTCTTCTCCTCGAGGCCATAGTACCCAAGCTCATGATTCCGCAGTGTCTTTTATCACCATTTTTTTTCTTCGGGCTTGTTCACTTTAATGCCAAAAAAAAACCTTACTAAATTTTAGCAATGCCAAAATTTTGGTATAGTTGTAAAAATTTTGGTAACTTGTCAAAATTTTGGCAGGATTTCTTATATAGTTAACAAAATTTAGTAGCAAACTAAATGTAGCCACTTTTTTTTGTCACTTTATCAAAATTTGGTAAGGTTGAAAATGACATCAAAGTGAACAGGCCCTTCCTCTCCAGTTACTACCTCCACCTCCGTTCGATAAAACACCAACTTCTGACTTTAAATCTAGATGTTGGTTTTTTATGAGATTAAGAGAGTAATTAGTAGTAGTAAATAAAAACAGTAAAAATCAAAGTTAACCGGCTTGGCGACCTAGAATTATTAAACTGAGCGGAGATTATTAATTTGTAAGTTATTCATAAACTGATTTTGCATGCGGGGTCCGAATGATGTGCAGTGCGCATGAACCTGAACATGCTCGTCGACGGTAGAGCTATTTCCCCGACTTTTCTAACTCACCATCATCGTTTTTTGCGCCCACTCTTTTCAAACGGCTAAACGACGTGTTTTTTATAAAAAATTTCTATACAAAAGTTGCTTTAAAAAATCATATTAATCCATTTTCAATAATAATATATATCTATAACTAATATAAATATTTGGATTTTTCCTGTCGTCACCTCTCAATGATCGCTGTTTTTGTCCGATCATGCGACAAAATTTTCGTCCGTAATGTCCGACTGAGCGGCGCCCAATTTCCATCCCTAATAATGTCTGACTGAGCGGCGCCCTCCCTCTCTGCGTGAACGCAATCGTGTACGGTGGCCAAAGAAAAAATCAAAGAGGATACAAAATCCTAATCGTGTATGACAAATCACAACATCAAAACCAACCGATAATCCTAGAAAATCAGTTTTTCATTCACTATTACAAGATCAACACTACAAAAATTATGAAGGTGGAAGCAGAAACACACAAACAAATCCTAGATCCCTAAAAAAACCAATTGCAGCAGCTCGCGATGCGGCAAATCCAATTGTGACCAAATCAGCCCAAACATCTCCACAACACCAATGGAGAGCAAATCGGGTAAACACCAAAGATCCCCATAAAAAAGGCCACAAATTTCCAAAGAACATCGCTCATGAATCCTCTTACTAACCATCCCACGATTGATGGAGGAAGAGAAGCAAGGGTGCTCGAGTGAAAGCAGGAGGAAAGGCATAAAAAACAATGTTGGATCTGGACCGGTCGCCCCGCGCCTCCTCCTTCGTGGAACCATCGCACCGTCCTCGCCATGCTCCCTGCCGCCGTGCTGGTCCCCAGCTCGGGGGCTGTTGGATCTAGCCCCCGCCGCCCCGCGCCTCCTTCTCCACCTCATGAGAGAGGAGAGGCCTCGCCGCACAGGGGAGAGGGAAGGAGAGGCGCCTGCCGCGGCGCAGGGGAGAGGGAGAGGCGTATATCCCAGATAAAACGGACACGTATATCCCATATATATATACCGGTTTTAAAAAAATATATAAAATATTACTGGTGCCAACACTCAACACTTTTAATGGGCTACAGGTGCGTCACAAAATTTTCATCTGTAAAGTCCGACTGAGTGGCGCCCTCCATCTTCGCACGAGTGTAATCGTGTACAACGGCCAGAGCAAAAATAAATAAATAAATCTTAATCTTAACTAACTAAAAGATTAATAATTTTCCTTTCGTCACAAATTTTTGGTCCGTAAATCCGTACGCGTTTAACCGTTTTAATCGGATTTCATGCGCGCAGGCCTAGACAGAGTCCGGAGCTAGCCTGGAGTCCAGTACAAGCCCAAAATGCCCAAATACGTTCGCACCCAGTCACAACATATCCTAATCTGTTTTCTTTTCCTCCATTAGTTTGAGAGAAAATTATATTTGAAGTATAGGTAGATGATGCCTATTATAGATGGAGTGGTAGCTGGTTTAGTTACGTTCTTTATTATATGGCGTCCCCACATATGTAAGATGATACAATTTTCTCTCCATAAAGCAAAATTCAAACAGGTAAGACAGATCGCAACGCCGCGAGACATTACGGATCACAACATAAGACAAATCTTATCTTAACTACTTAAAAATTTGTAATTTTCTGTTCATCACATCATTTTTCATCCGTAACATCAATTTTTTTGTCTGTAAATCCGATTGAGATCCAATCAGACAATCCAAAGAAAGAGAAAACGAATGGAAAAAAAAAAACCCGCATAAATCTTATCTCAATCTTTGTCACCGCCAGATCCACCCACGGGAAGCCACTGTCACCATCGGATTGGCCTGTGGGAAGCCGCGTGCCGTCGGCGCCAGATCCGCCATCGACGACGCTCGCGGGAAGTCGCTGTCGCTGTTGGATCCGGCCGTGGGAAGCCGCGGAGGGCGCCGCTGCTCGCGGTGGGGGACGGCGCAGCTTCACTCGCTCGCAGTGGGGGAGGGCGCCGCCGGCAATGCTCGCGGTGGGAGGGGGAGGTCGCTACCATCGCCTTTTGAGATAGAGAGAGAGAGCAAGGGGATCGGGGGAAATGATATTAAGGTTAGGGTTTGAGCTGCCGAATATTTATCTAGGTCGGGATCAATCGGGACCGTCCATCAGATTGGATGGCCCTGGTTTCTCCCGCGTCAGGTCGGGCGTTGTTCCCAGGCCACCTAGCTATTGGGCCGCATATCCTTTATATTAAGTTGTATTATTTATATAGACAGATTAATATATCCAGTTTAGGGGTTTTTTTTTGGCAGAAGACTTGTTTTATGCAGATATCCAATTGGACAACGTCATTTTTCAAAAAAAAAAACAAAAAACAAAAGTACCAAAACAGTGTGAAAATAACTTCAGTTAAAAACAAATATTTTTAGTTTTAATACGCCGTAGCGAAGCACGGGCATTTTGCTAATAATAATAAATATTTAATTAATTATAAGAAAATGTGTCAAATGTTTTGCGTGCGGGACCTCACCTCCCAGCCCCGTACTATCTTGTTCGAAACAGAACGTGCTGCAGCAAAACTCTTGGTTTACGTACGCGGACAGCAGTGCAGTTGCAGGTTGTTACGCTTTAAGAAAGTACGATCTCATACATGATAACGTACCTAGGCACAGTTTGGACTTGGACATATATGAATATTTGTCGATGGTTTGGACGTTTGGAAGTTGTGATCTGCAACAAAAGTAATTAACAATCTACCGCCCGGGCAAGGTTTTTTCTAGTGTTAACAAGAAGAGATGCGTAAAAGAATCAACAGCTATATGTACATGCTTGTTTGGTTTAGTCGTACCAATACCAATATCAACACCTAAACATGTTTTTGGCACTATCAATATTTTAGTAGGGTCCGTAGCATTCTAAGTAAGTGAAGTGGGTTTAAATTGATACTAATTGAGAGCCAAGTTTTATCAAATTAAGCATGAGCAAGCTCCAAACCAAACCATCATATTTACTACTCCCTCCATTCTAAATTGATCTACATATAGTTTTATTTTAGTTATTCCTAAATGATCTATACATTTGTGATCATTCATTAAGTCTATTCGTTATTTGTGTATTGGAGTAAATGGACATTGATGCATGCATCCATGCACACAAGTATTTATAACCCACATGCAATATCTTGATTTGCTATTGGCTAGAAAATAGTGGGGGTGATGCATACATTAAGTTTGTTGCTAGAGTTAATATAGTATAAAAAAGTTCTTAGTTTTTCTTGATCTTAGTGTACCTATGAAATATGTAGATCAATTTAAAATGGAGGGATTACTCCACATTTTAGTATCAATCCAAAATAATCCTACATCAACGAAGGACAGATCAGGGCGTAAGATTCACTCCTTTTCACTCTGTAGTCATCCAAGAGCATATGCGTGTGCTCTTGCTAAATCCAAAAAGAAAAGACATGCGTGATCAACAATCGAGAACGAGAGAGAGAGAGAGAGAGAGAGAAGAAACCGCGTGCCCGATTGGGCCTTCTGCCGACTGCTCGGCCTGTTCCGGTGTGCGATGCCGCGGTGGCGTC